GGAGGAGGAGGAGGAGGAGGATGCGAGGAGGGGGACCATGGGAGGTATCGAACTCCAGGGACGCCGATTACCAGCGGCGTTGCGATGGCCTTCGACTGTACCAGCGAGGTCTCCACCGCCATCGCCACCGCTCTGCTGCCGACTCGTCCCGTCCCCTCTGGGCTGGTCGCCGTCGTCGTCGCCACCGCTCCTCCCGCCCTCCCGTCCCCCCGATGGCCAGCCTTTGTGGGTCGGGCGGCCTCCCGTAGGCCCGCGGGCTCAGCATCGGCCGCCGTCGCCGCGCCGCGCTACCGTGCAGTGCCGCCCAGCGCTTTCCGCAATGGCCGCCCTCGCCCGCCCCGCGGTGGTCCCTTGCGGCCACGTCGGCGCCGCGGATCTCGGCTGCTTCGGGGCCACGGATCCGTACACGGAGGCCGCCGCCGAGCTCGAGGCCACCGAGAAGCTGATCGCCTGGGCGGACGAGCTCGGCGCCCAGCAGCGCCGCTGGGCCGCTCAGCGGGAAGAGCTGCTGTCTCGGTGCCTGGCGGGGCAGCGGGCCCGCTGGCAGGCGGGGGCGGCGCAGGCGGCGGCGCTCGGCCAGGCGGCGGCGCTGCTCCGCTCCGCGCACCAGGCGCGCATGGGCACCCTGCGGTGCGCGCTGGCGGAGGCACAGAGGCTGCTGCGGCGGGACGAGCGCGAGGCCTCCTGGCACGCCGGGGAGCTGGAGGGGGAGGAGGCCGCGGCCCTGCGCGTGGAGCGCCACCGCCTCTCGCGCGAGCGCAGGGCCCTGGAGGAGGAGCGGGCCAGGCTCGCGGCCGGCGCGCAGGCGCGGGAGCTGCGGCTGGCGGCCCTGGCCCGGCGGGAGGCCGCGCTCCTGCAGGAGAGCGGCGAGAGGCAGCGGCTGGAGGCCCATCGGATGGGGCTCGAGGTGTGCACCACGTCGCCAGGTCGGCCGAGGGGCCGATGAGTTCGGCGAAGGACCTCGCCGTACACTTCGGGCGCCTCTGGGGAGCGCCCTGGCAGGTGGTTTTGGGCGCCCCAGGGGGGAGCGCCCTGGCAGGTACCCTCGGGCTGCCCAGGGAGGCACCCCGGCAGGTCCCAGAGGTGGGGAACCTGGGGTGTCTGCACACCGAGCTGCTTGGCCGACCAGACGACTTGGTCTGCACTTGAACCATCCCCCCTCCTCCTCCTCCTCTTCCTCCTCCTCCTCCTCCTCCTCCTCCTTCTGAGGCCGCGCGCCTGGAGATCGAGGCCGAGCGCGCGCGCCTGGCGTCGCTGGTGCCCGACGTCCACGCCGCCGTGCAGACGGATCGCCCAGAGGCTGCCGTGAGGGCAGCGGGTCCCGAGCTTTTGTGGCGGCGTTTGGCTCTCCCCGGGAGCTCCACGGGCCGCGGCAATGGTCGGGGAACGACTCGCGACGAAGGGCTGGTCTTGGGGAAGGCTCAAGTCGGGCGTGCCCCTCTACAGGAGGGAGGCTCAAACATAGCCAAGAAAGATTATATACGGGGACGAGCTTCGACCATCTTTCGATGACTTTTTTTTGGAGCATCTCTCGTGCACCTCTCAGTTTTCGCCCCGCAATCCGCATGTGGGAGGACATGCCCCACCTGAGCCTGAGGGCAGGCCCGCGGGGCCCAGGACTCGCTCTCCTCGGGACCCCCTCCTCTCTCGAGGGCGGCGCGAACCGTGGGCTCCCGCGCGTGGATCGGCCACGGCCCCCGTCTTCGACTTTGGAGTCGGCGCGCCTCGTCGCCGAATCGGGCAGCACCGGCTGCTCCGTGCCTCGCGGGTGCCTGCCACGATCTGCGGATCCCGCGCCCGCGCGCCAGGTCCACGGGTCCGAAGTCCGCGCCGGCGCGCGCCCGGGCTTTCCATCGTGCCAACCAGAGGCCGCGGCCGCGAGCAGCGCTGGCTACAGCGGCGACGGCTTCGAGAGCGAGGGCGCCTACACGGACGACTTCGAGGCGTCGTCCGAGGAAGCGGAGGCCCTCTCCGAGAGTCGGGCCACATCGAGCAGCCGGGCGCAGACGCCGTCAGCGTCGCGGACAAGCGGGAGCAGCTCGCGAGCCCGTTCTCAGGCCGGCGGTCGTCGCGGAGCTGGCGCGGGGAGCTCCAGCTCCGCGTCGGAGCACGTCGCCACGCAGAGCTCCAGCTCCGTGTCGGAAGACATCGCCAGATCTCGCCGCGGAGGCGCTAGGAATTCCAGTTCCGTGTCCGAGGACATCGCCACCCAGAGCTCTAGCTCCGCGTCGCAGGACATCGCCAGACCCCGCCGCGGAGGCACGAACATCTTGGATTCCGTGTCGGAGGACGTTGCCACGCAGAGCTCCAGCTCCGTGTCGAAGGACATCGCCAGATCTCGCCGCGGTGGCGCGAATAGCTCGGACTCCGTGTCGGAGGACGTCGCTGGCTCCTCGGGAGCGAGTCGGCGAGGCCCGAGGAGCCCGAGCTCGGAGTCTTCAAGAGCTCGTGGCCAGAAGCAGGGAAGCTCGAGCTCTGTGTCCGAAGACATCCCCCGCTCGGTCAGGAGCGTGACCGAGAGCGTGGCCAGCATATCTGGCTAATTGAGTGCACATGCGATCTCTGTTGAGCGGAGGAGATTGAAAAGCCAGACGGCTGGGGTACCTGGCTCTCGCCACTCCTGCTCCATCGTGCACCTCATGGGCTCGTCATTCTGACCCGTCGTTTGAGGGTTCCTTGGTTGGGAGACCGCCTCCAGAAGCCAAAGCCGTGAACACTTTTGCCTTCACATTTGTTCGTTGGCCGTATCTGGGGGGACGAGGAGGAGGAGGAAGGAGAAGAGGATGAGAAGGAGGCCCGACTCCGCTCAGAACAGGTCCCTCGGGGGCACATCTTGGCTGGCGTTTGACCTTGGATCGATTTCTGATGGTGCTGGGGCCCAGGCGCCGAAACCGAGGAATAGCATTGAACATCGAAAGTCGATGAGGAGGAGGAGGAGGAGGATGAGGAGGAGGATGAGGAGGTTGAGCAGGAGGAGGAGGAGGAGGAGGAGAAGGAGAACGATGAGGATGGAGGAGGAGGAGGAGCAGGAGGAGGAGGAGGAGGAGGTGGAGGAAGAGGACGATAATAATGATGGTGATGATGCTGCTGCTGATGATGATGCTGATGATGATGACGATGATGATGCCGAGGATGATGTTGATAATCATGATGATGATGCTGATGCTGATGATGACGATGCTGATGGTGCTGATGATGGTCATACTGATGCTGGTGCTGCTGCTGCTGCTGCTGCTGATGATGATGATGATGATGATGATGATGATGATGATGATGATGATGATGATGATGTTGATGATGATGATGATGCTACCTAGGAGGAGGAGAAGGTGGAGGAGGAGCAGGAGAAGGAGACGGAGGTGGAGGAGGATGAGGAGGATCAGTTCTTTCACCCAACGCCCAAAGTAGGAGGCCCCGACCGCGGGGCTTTGGCCCGCCAGGGTTTTGTCCAGGCCAGTAGTTCGAGCTGCGTCCAGCCTTGGTGACCATGAGCTCCGGAAATGCCCAGAGGCCTCCCAGTCGAAGTCGTCAGCGTCGCTGAGGAGGAGGATGAGGAGGATGAGGAGGATGAGGAGGATGAGGAGGAGGAGGAGGAGGAGGAGGAGGAGGAGGAGGAGGAGGAGGAGGAGGAGAGAACATGGAAAATCTCGATGACAATGTCCGGGTCGACGATTTTCCGGAAGGCGGGTCGTCGCAAGCCTCGCGAAATGAATGGCAGCAGGGTGCCGCCAAGGCGGGCCTGAGTTTGACCAGCACAGGCCGAGCCGCTCAATCAAGGCTGCGGCCGCGGCGCGCACGAGGGGGTGGCCCGAGGGGGGTGGCCTTCCTGAGAAGGCGGGGGCTTCTTGGAAGGCGGGGGTCTTCTCAGAAGGGCCCGGCGCCTTCGGCGAGGACGTCTTGGAAGCCCAGGGGTGCCCTTCTCAGAAGACCCACTCTCGCGCCACCCCCCTCCGTGCGCGCCGCCCCAGACCCATCGGCGTCGTGCCTCTTCTGCAGCGTGGGCCCCCAGAGGTCTGGACCCCCTCCCAGGGACGGGCTCCTCATCTCGAGGCGTCTTCAGACGGTCCTGGGGCCTGGCGGGGCCCCCGAGGGGCAGGCAGTGCCAAAGCCCTCCCGTCGCGGTTTCGTTCCCGACGCGAGGTGGCCTGGGGACCCCGGATGACCCTGAGAGCAGGCGCAGTCTGGTGCACCTCGCCCCTGGGCGGCGCATCGAGCTGCGCGCGGGCGAGCCCCAGCCCGGTCCCCTGAGCCGTTTTTGGACCGTCCCGAGGCCCGGGAAGGGCCCCTGGAGGCCGAAAGTAGCGAACAACCTCTGGTCGTGATCCTTTCGCTACTCGAGGCGGTCTGGGTGGGTTCTCCGCGATGGTGCAAGGCTGTCGCGTCGTCGGACCTCAGGGGCGGAGGAGGCCTGGGCCCTGGGAGCCCTTGTGGAGGGCCAGGGCAGCCAAAGAGGCCCTACAGCGGCCCAGGCGGACCGAGGCACGAGATCGAGGTCAGTGCGGGGAGGGTGCCCTGACCCAGGCCTCCTCGAGCGATGAAAAAGTCATGACAGAGGTTTTTTTTGCTAATTTTGGCCTCTGGGGGCCCTCGCTGGGCCTCGGGGCCGTCAACAAAACGACTAGGCATGAAGAACTGGTCCCGGGGAGTGAAGGGAAACCTCTGGAGGGCGACGTCATGAAAAAATCATGACGTCGGGGGTCTGGGAATGCTCTTTCGTGTCTGTTGCATGTTCTTGTGCATTAGGCGGAGTGTCTCATGTTCTTGGAGGACGTTCTTCTGTCCTGGGTCCGAGTGTACGCGCAAGAGTGCGGGCAAGCAGGGCCCCACCTGACCTGCCCGCTTGGGTTCGGGCGCCTCGCGGCCCCCTGAGGCCGCGCGCCAAAAGTCACTCTTCCCTATATGGTCACTCGTGCGTGTGACCGGCTATACGGTCGGGATCTCTGGCTTAGCGTGGTTCGCAGCCAGTTCCGGCCCACCACGCCACGGGGTGAGACGCGAAGCCCTTCCCAGTCCGCAGGCGTCGACGCCCTGAGCTTCTCCCGAGCCTCCCTCCACGCGGATCGGAGCGGCATGCTAGCAGCTCGCAGGGCATAGCGTGCCGCTGGGGCCGCCGCTGCGACACGCTAAGCAAACGTTCCCGACCGCAGCACGAGGAGGAGGAGGAGGAGGAGGAGGAGGAAGACGAAGAGGAGGAGCAGGAGAAGGAGGAGGAGGAGGAGGCAATGAGGCAATGAGGAAAATGTAGCAAGCTCTTTGGCGTCCCGCGACGGGAGGGCGGTCCCCCCCCCTGGCGCATGCAACCAGCAGACAGCGCCCAAGGCGCCCCCTGGGATCCCGCCCCCCCCCGCGCGCAGGGGAGGCCGATCCCAGAGGCGGCCCCAGGGAGGGACCGCCCTGCCCAAAGCCCAAAAACTCGGAACATCCCGTCTTTGCAGACCTACACTATGACGACTTGCCGAAGACCTCGAGCTTCCCCGCCCTGGTCGCTATCTGACCAAGGATCACCCGCAATTCTGGCATGACGACCTTGCCAAATTTCTTCGTTCGAAGAAGGACAAACGCTATAAACATAAACTTTTGGCGCGCCGCGCGGATTTCTCGGATCCGCGCTGGGCCCCCCTGGCGACGCCGCCGGCGCCGCCCCTGGTTCGCTCCGCGCGCCAGGGAGGGGGGTCCGGCGCAGATCCAAGAACTCCGCGCGGAGCGCCACAAGTTTATGTTTACAGCGTTGTTTCTTTTTCTTCTATTCGTCTCGACCAGAAACGGAAGCGCCGAGGGCGCTCCGCGCCAATTCCACCCTCACCGAGGGCCCCGAAGGTCTGGTCAACCACCGCGAGGCACCCTGCGTCGAGCTTTTGCTGCTCCCCTTTGTCCCGGCCTCCTTCGTGCCGCGCTGCCCGTGTACTGGACGACTCCATCGGAGAGGCTCACGCACCCGCCATGGCCCGAGGCACCTGTGCCACTCTCAAGTGCGGTGCCCCAACTCCCTGAGCCGCGCTCGAGAGGAGAGCGGCTGGGAGGAGGAGGAGGAGGAGGAGGAGGAGGAGGAGGAGGAGGAGGAGGAGGAGGAGGAGGAGGAGGAGGATGAGGCGGCGGAGGAGGAGGAGGAGGAGGCCTCCTCGGCGTGACCTCGCTCGGCCTCCCTGTCCGTCTCCCCATCCTTGAGGCAGCTCGGGCGAGAGAGAGGGGGATCTGGCCTTTCTGCCCGTCTCGCTGAGCCTGCGCTCGACGAGGCAGCCGGGAACTGGGGGGCCGCCCAGTCGCCCGAGGTGTCCCCAGCGGGCCGCCGCAGGAATGCCGAGCGCGACCTCCGCCCGAAGGGATCCGCCCCGGAGGCGCAGTATAGGGTCGGCAGGCGTCGCCTCCCGGCAGCCCCAGGGGGGCCCCAGCGGGGCAGAAGCCGAGGAGGAGCCTTGAGCGCGCCGAGCATCGAACGCCGCGGGCGATCCCGAGATCCGACGCCGCGAACAGACGGCCACGGCGCCAGACATCACGGCGGGAAGCTTCGGACCCCGTCTTCCTGCGCGGCACTTCTCGAGATTCCCGGAGCGACCTGCGAGGGCCCAGGGTGGCCCGGGGCCCGACAGCGTAAGCAAGTTGCAGCGCCTGTCAGTCAGGGGTGGCGGGCCGTGGGATCCAGGCGCCGCACTCTCTTCGCGCCCAGAGGGTGTTCGCCCCGCTTCGGTCCCCGGAGCCCTCGCGGGCCCGCGCGGCCCGAGGAGCGGCGTGCCACGAGGAGAGGGGCTCCGAGGCTCCCGGCTGTGCCTGCTGGCGATGCCGGTGCCCCTCTTTTTTCGCGACGCCGGGTCTTGGCGGAGGCGCGCCCTGCTGCCAGCCCTGGCCGCGGGGTCCCTGCGCGCGCGCGGAGGCACAGCCTGTTGTCGGGACCATGTTGTTCACCCCGAGTTGCTTGCCGGCGGCCAGCCCGGGGGGGAAGTGGGAGGGGGCGTGCCTTCTCAGAAGGCTCGGGAGTCCTCGGGCCGTCCGAGGGCTTTTCGAAGCCGCGTCGGTCCGTGGGGGCCCCCCGGGCCGGACGCCTGGCGAGAGCGCCCTGCTCGAGCAAAAGCGCGACGCCATGATCTCCCGGGCCGCGCTTCTTCCCGCAGCGCGAGGAGGAGGACCAGTGCAAGTCCAAGACGCATCAGCGATGCTTCAGAGCGTGAATTACCTGCCCCGCTTTCGCTTCCAGGCAAAGCCACGTCATACCACGCGCCTCTTCGTCAAGCGGCCTGACCAGTACAGGCCATGGTTTGGCATCGCTTGGTATCCCTTGGAAGCGAGGGTGGTCCACAGCGAGGTAGGTTTGTTTGCCCCCTAATGTTGCAGTCCACCTTCCCTGCAAGTTCCCTCGTCGTTGGGCCCTACAAGACTGCGTTTTCATGGCGGGCAATGCCCCATTGAAGAACAAGCGTCTGAGAATCCTCAATCGTGCCTCAACGCCGTTCCTGGTGTCTCAGCGTCGCGAGTCAACGTGACTGTTGCGTCCTGAAAGTCCTAAACTGTGCCAGAGCACCATTCCTGGGACCTCATTGCCAGAACAACCATTCCTGGGACCTTTACCATGCGAATCCTTGAAACTGTTGCAAACTTTCGCAACGAATGAGCGCGACGCTAAGGCGAGAGCCAAGTTCTGAAAAAGATCGGCCCTTCATCGGTAAAGCTTTGCGAACTTGTAACGCGAATGTGCGCGGCGCTAAGGGGAGAGCCACATTTCGAAAACGACCCGTCC